CAGGCAGATTAAGTAGAAAACTCTGTGTGTGGAGCAGCTTTCTCTGACCTGGTGCCCTCCAGATGTTTTGGACTATAACTTCCACTAGCCCCAGCTAGAATGGCCAGTGATCAACTCCCAACGATGGGAGTCGTAGTCCAGCAACATCTGGAAGGCAGAAGGTTGGCAAAGTGGCTCCTTCGCTTTATAGCACCAATGTACACACAGAAGAAGGGATGCGGGTGGCGCTGTGGGTTAAACCACAGAGCCTAGGACTTGCCGTTCAGAAGGTCGGTGGTTTGAATCCCCACGACGGGGTGAGCTCCCGTTGCTCGGTCCCAGCTCCTGCCAATCTAGCAGTTCGAAAGCACCTCAAAGTGAAGTAGATAAATAGGTACCACTCCGGAGGGAAGGTAAACAGTGTTTCCGTGCGCTGCTCTGGTTTGCCAGAAGCGGCTTTGTCATGCTGGCCACATGACCCAGAAGCTTGTACGCCGGCTCCCTCAGCCAATAAAGCGAGATGAGCGCTGCAACCCCAGAATCGGCCATGACTGGACCTAATGGACCCTTTACCTTTACACACAGAAGAGATTTCAAACACAACCACCCAAACCTGTTAATTTGTAACATAGTTAGAAATTACTTAAAACATTTTTATGCTGCCATTATATATATAACAAAATAGTTATATAATGTGAATGTGCAGAAATGAGTTTTGAGAGGTATTGTGACAAGGCCAAACTCTTAAAAGGTGTGAGTACACCATAGAAAGGTCTTGCATCCCCCAAATAAATCATGTGTGGGGAGATAGGGAGGCCTAAGCAGCTGCTTAAGACTGAACCCAGCTGAGGCTTGGGAGAGGTCAGCATGGGAGCCCCTTTTCCGGTTCTGTCATCCCTCCTGTAAAAGCCACACATACATTTAAAGCACCAGTATACCACTTTAACCGTCATGGCAGGCTTCTCCCAAGGAATCATGGGAGTTGTAGTTTGCTAAGAGGGCTGTGAGTTTTGAGCATACCACTCGCACAGCCACAGTTCCAGCACTCTCTTAATAAACGTCAGCGACCAGTATATGAGTGCTTGTGAGAAGATCACGGATGCTACTGACATGCAGTCCCTCCAGTAGTATGTCTCTGGGCGTGAGGAAGTGTGATGTGATTCCATTGTTTTTGGGGCTTCCTTTGCTTTATTGACTGGCACCTTCTGAGGGCAGGAAAAATGATCACCTCACTTCACTCTGCCCCCACATGTAACTAGGATGACTCAGTTATGGTTTGGCAGTGTCTGCATCTATCCCTTGGGTGCCAGGAAGGAAGGAAGGAAGGACTCAAATGATGGACTTGGTCCATATTGTTCCTCTCGTCAGGGGCTTAATTACAATTGTGTGGGAAATGGCTCCCATGCCTCTAATTGTAAGTGTGAATGTGCTGAGGAGCCCAGCACTCCTGGGTCAGAATCTCTGAAAGAAGGAACACTGTGTAGATATATTGTGAGTCTTGTAAATTTTGATGGATTCGCCGTGTTCTGAAATATGGAACATCCTTTATGTTTCATTGCACTCACAGTTTTCTCATGTTAATTTTTAAAAGTATTAAAAGTTTTTCACAATGCAATAAGATAACAACTACAAAAACTCCAAACAGAACAAGTAGAATATGGAGAGTGAACTTGCAGTTTTCTAAGGGACAATTGCCGTAAGAAACACCTGGCATTCCTAGGAGACAGTTGTCATTTGTAAACCTTAGAAAGAGATATTTTAAGCTCCACATCCCCAAACTTAAAGTTCTCTAATTCACAGCCGTGAAGGCCCCTGCAAGTGGTCTGTCTTCCTCAAATTGATTCTACATTTCTAGAAAAAAGTAGCTAGAAGTCGAATTGCCAGGATGATTTCACATATCGTTGGGGCATTTTGCAGTGCAATGTGACTTGATTACAAATAAATATGCCAAAGCAAACCCCCTACCCTTGAAAGCTGGCCAAGAAAGTGCATTTAGGGAGTCAGTTCAGTGACCCCAGTTTACCCAGAAACTGTGTTGTGAGGTGCTTTCTGTATTCCTAGAGACCCACACTCCCAAAAAACGACTTATCTTTTTCCTGGTTGGTAAAGGTAACTCCTCTCTATTGTTGTTGGCTATGCGGTACCCAGAGCGAGCAACAGCTGGCAGGATATAGAGAAAGAGCTAAAGGACGCTCAGAAAGCAAGCAGGAATACGGGGAAAGCCAAGGCTGGAGCAGTCAGTGGACCGACACTGCCATCTCTGACCGCAAGAATCAGGTCAGCATGGTGGAAAATGTGATGGTCTTCTTCCTGGCTGCCAAGAATCAGTCACACTTGGTTTCCCCTGGCCATTCGGTTCAGGTCCCTTGCCCTGTCAGATCTCTTCTTGAAACATATGTGCTTTTGCAAAGGCTCTGTAGAGGTGGCTCTTTCACACTGAGAAAGAAAAGCATGAGCTTTCTAAGGCAAGAGCCAGACAGGGCCAAATCTGCTTGGAAAATTCTAGGGAAAGATTGGTCTAAGTTCTCCTCATGCTGTACTCCTAAGCTGACAGCCACCTTGTAGTTAGCCAAGGAGGAAGTAACATAAAGGAGGGATATAAGCAATCCCTTGCCAGGTGAATCAGCTTGGCAGACATGCTTTCTTCAGCTTGCTCTGAAGAAGTACACTCCTAAAATATGTAACTTTCTTGTACTGTTGGGTTCAGCTGTGTCATTGGGTTTGATAAACAGGAGTTTGCAGTGATGCTGTCCTCGATTTAATAAGCATGCCCTGCTGTGATGTGGGGAAGCCCCACAACCTAGGAACAGTTTTGATCTAATTTGGGAGGACTGATTCCCACTTTTGCAAGTAGATAGGTAGCTGAGAGTTCTCTGGGCTGGATTAGGATATATGTCCCTGCAGGATCCCCACCAGTTGGTACATGGACAGCTGCCTGTTTTTATTTTTAATGAAAAGCTCTCTTCCTAATCCTCCAGATAAGGGAGGCTGACTCAAGCTCTGGCCGCTTCTGCCTTAGTGGGGCAGACTCTGGTTGCCTTGCTTTCCTGCTGCCTTGCAGGGCCTTTTGCTCTGGAGTTGCCAGTGTTCTGAACCGGCCCCTGTAGCTTTCTGCTTTTAACAGCCATTTGTTTTGCAGCTATGGGCAGGTGTTAATCTTTGGCTCCATGTCATGTAAAGCATCACCTGCTCTTTCCCTCATACCAAACCTCTTCTAGAGGTATAGAGAAGGAGGCCACACTGCCCTGTTCCTCTCCTCCAATGGTAACCCTGTTTCTTTCCCATGGCCATCCAGCTTAGCTTTCTTGGAATGCTCATTTTCTGCTGTTGTGGATTTGTAAGGGAAGTCCCACCCACCCCTAACCTCTTATTGGCTTCCCACTGACAGTCAGATGAGAAGCGTGACTTTTGACCATTCAGCATCAAAGGTGATTAAATTAGTTCATTTGTCCCCACCACCACCAAGCAGCCCCTAAATCATCTATGCAAGCCCAAATGTGGGAATTCCCCAAATAAAGTGATGGAGGAACCATGTCATCAACAGGCCAATCCCAAAGGAAGGTTTTTCCCAAAGAGAAATGGGTTCTCCTAAGCCTCTGTCTGCTCCTGCACACTTCCACATTTGAGGAAGCTGTGGGAGCTCAGACCCAGTGGTGCTCCCTACATTTCATCGCTGTTGGCTTAAGACAACCTGGGATACTTTTAAAACTGAAGGGCAAGGTGCTAAAATGCCCCAGGTTGCTTTCCAATTACGATTCGTTCAACAATGAAAACTGTAAAAGTTACCAAATAATTACTAACAACATCCACTGCATTACCAGATTGAAAGAGGCATGGACTAGTAAAACGGGATTTGCTTGCGGGAACAGAAAGGTTCAGCAGGAATAGATCCTTGGTGGAGCAAGCATTCCACGATGGGGTGCCACAGCAGAAAAAAGCCCTTTCCCCCAGCCCTCACTTCTAAAGTCATGAATACCTCAGGGAAGGGCTTTCAGAAGGAGATCTTTGGGCAGGTTCCTGCCCGCCACTCCCCAGGGGAACCCACTCCTGCCATGCATTCTCAGGGAGCTTCAGAGCAGCTGCAGCAGCCAAGGGCCTCACGTTTCTGACACCTTTACGATACCCATTTGTAAACAGATGCAACTTTGCCATGAGCCACACCAGATGGGAATGAGTGAAGTGCAGAAGGGTGGCAGTGTAGCCACAGCCTGATCTTAAGGGGGTCCGTGTTAGCTAAAATGGCATCAACAGTGACACAGAAATCCCAGGCAAATGCCCTTGGCAGTAAGAGATATTTGTGAGTGACTGTGTAGAGGCAGGGGGAAAGGGAGGGTACTGTAGATTGTCCTGTGTTGGGCAGTGAACCAGCACATGATAAAATAAGCGCCACTCCTTGGCCACCGAAACCTCCATCCCCTCCCCTTTGGCAGCCTGAGAGCTAAACCAGAGATTGCGCTAAATGCATCTGTTCAAATTGGCAAGGGGGCAAGGACCAATTTTCATTGGACTGCAGACTGGTTTAACTCTCCAAACCCCCATAGTCCTAACAAAAATAATTTTTCACGAATCTTGCTATTAACTCTGTGTGTGGAAGAGCTCCCACTGGCACCCAATGAAAGCTTCCCTTCCAGAGTGAATAGAAACTTTGGCGGGTAAGCTGGGTTATATGTCATGTCCACATTGGCCCTTGAGAGTTTAGCAGACCCTGCTTTTTAAAACTTCCACCCCATCTCTAGTCATGAGCTCTAGAAACTTTATCTCTTAAGTGGCCACTGGATTCTTGGCATTATGGTTGTGTTGCCAGACCCTGCCTGCTCCTCTTGCCTCTGCCTGAAAATAATGTAATAAATTGTTGTTGGTGTCCATCTGTCTTGAGTGGGCCAATTAGAGCAGCACGATATAGCTGCCGCCCCCCGCACTCGACCCCAGTTCTGTGGAAGATAAGAAAGATCTTGTCGTCTGACTCCCTTGTCTAAAGCTGGACTCCTCCTTCTCTCCCTTGCCCACAGTTAGAACAAGCTTAGAGGTGTCATAGAGAACATGATGGCTTCCTCGTCCACGCTGCTGTCCATGAGCATGCCACCTACCCCGGAGCCTGGGGTGGCTCAGGTCCAGAGCACATGTGCAGCTTGCAGCTTAGATGTCAGTGAGAAGGTTAGCCAGCTGTTCAAGCGCTATGAGCAGCTGCAGGACTTGATTAACAACTTCATGTTAAGGCAGGCAGAAGGCAAACTAGCCAAGAAACCCAAGCACCGCCAGGTAAGGCCGGCGCAAGAATTTGACCTCAAGTTTCCAGGAGGAGGGCAGAGGGAGGACTTCAGGGGGCTCTGTGTGGATGCTGAGGCCTGATCTGAGACTTAGTGGTAAGGCCTGAAAGAAGGCTCATTTGGGGAGTTACGTGCTGGGAAGCCGCGGCACACTGAGGCTTGGAAGCAGAAGCTACGGAATCGTAGAAGGGCTCTTCAAATGCATGAGTCAACTGCTGTCCTCAGACAGCATTATGTGTGCAGCTGCACATATTCATATCATTTATTATCCTGCCCATCCCTAGAGACGGGATCTCTGAATCCCTCTCCCATCCTCCAAAGTGGGATAGAGAGATTCTTCTCCTAGGTAACATAAGCAAGGAATTAAGAAGGATTGAACAGGCCACCCTACCATAGATAATGGCTTTTTTGTTGATTCTGTTTTCTCATATGGCATCTTTTTGTTCTTTGTGCTCTGTAACAAAGTGCCAGGATTTGTGCTTTCTTTTGTATGCTGAAAGTGCATTAATATCAGCACCTAGGGGCAGAATGGAAGTGCAGTGCAACATCAATGATAACCAGGGGCAGGGGTGAGAACAACACAAGTGTTTCCATCCAGAGAGGAGACACCCACAGGTGTCTGCTCCTAAATACAAAGCTATTGCTTGATGGTGTACGGTCATCTTCAGGCTGTAGTTCTGATCCAATGTAGATAAAATATGCATTGCACCAAAACGAAAGGGAATTAACACACTTGGGAGGGATTTAATTAAGGAGACCCATGTCAATGTTGGCTTTCATTACTTTGTTGCCTTTGCAATTAGGATGAAGAGATGCTTAACCAGATCCAAAGCACCATCCTGCAAGTTCAGGATGACTGTGAGAAGCTGAACGCCACCGCAGGCACGCTTGTAGAAGATCATCGCCAGAAGCAGAAGGAGATCAGTGTAGGTGATCTTGACACCAGGTTAGAGGGTCAAATGACATGGGACATTCCCAATGTTGTTGCTTCACAAGGATTTGGTGGTGCTTCCTCCAGGAAGAAGCAGCTGGCTCTCCTCCCTCTGCTTAAGCAAGTGCAAAGCAGGTGACTGAGGCCATGAGACTATAGTGGTGGCAGCAGTACTGGATATCCAGCTGGGTTTATTGGCATTTGGTACAAGCAGCTACAATTCAATCAGCATCAGCAAATCACCTCTTACAGCAGATGTGCCAACATTTGGTATTTGGGCAGGATGGCAGCCTGTTCTCCAGGGGCCATCATGTTCCCTGCCACCCAGACCCCTCATGGGAGAACAAGCTGTATAATAAGCACCAAGTAGCTGCCAGCCAGATTGTCCAAAGAAAAAGGTGTGATGCTAAGATTTGCAGTATCTTGGCTCCTTGCTGCTGTTGAAAACAACTGTGTTTTTTTCTTACAAGTGGGTAAGAGTTCTACCTGATGTTCACTAAACTTTGGTAGGGTTGCCAGGGGCCCCATCAAATCACCGTTGCCCTCCTTGGCAAGTGAGCGTCCCTCCCACCCCACTCTGCCCCCAGTATCGATTCCCAAAATGTTGAGCTAGTTGACCTAAAGCATGCTTTGTCAATATACTAGCCTACAGTCTGTTATCACTCATGAGATAGAAGCACAAGACGGCTCACTTTGGAATGAGAGTTGTGTGATTTGCAGTATTTGGATGCAATGAGACCTTGCAGAACATGTGCTAGTAAATGAATATATATATATATATATATATATATATGCAGGTTTTGGTGTCCTCGGGTGTCTTCCCGTGTAAAAGTTGGGGTGTCTAGGCGACGTTTCGACGAGGTCTCACTCGTCATCTTCAGGCTGGTGCTTTCGGCTTCTTGTTACTGGAACAGAGCAGGATCTCAGTGTTTGAGTTCCTATAAATACTGTTGAGGGGGTGTGGTGTATAGCCTCCAATGTTCTGGGCAGAGAGGAAGTTCCCAGGCTATGTGTTTTTATATATATATGCAGGTTTTGGGTTTTGGTGTCGGTGTCTTCCCGTGTAAAAGTTGGGGTGTCTAGGCGACGTTTCGACGAGGTCTCACTCGTCATCTTCAGGCTGGTGCTTTCGGCTTCTTGTTACTGGAACAGAGCAGGATCTCAGTGTTTGAGTTCCTATAAATACTGTTGAGGGGGTGTGGTGTATAGCCTCCAATGTTCTGGGCAGAGAGGAAGTTCCCAGGCTAGTGTGCCTTTTCTTCTTTTTGTTCCTTAATTACTTGAGGGATATCTTGAGTGATTTCTTGAGTGATATCCTGAGTACCACTTAGGTGGGTCATTAGGTGTGGATTAGTTGCTAAAGCCTTCGTGTCTTGACCTCTTGAACTTTGTGAAGAGTTTTTCTGAGAAGATGGCTGTACTGCATTAGTTGTGCTCTGGCTTGGCTTCGTGTATAGGGGCGAGCTGTGGTTTTGTGTCCTGTGCCAGCCAGATCTGTGTAGGGATTGCAGGGGGGTGCAGCATCCGGAGGTGCCACCATGGTTTGGCTACTGGATGGTGTCTGTAATTTATCTGTGGAGAGGGTCTGGGTTTGGGTCTGGTGTGGTTGATTGGTGATGGCGTTCTGTGTGCCTCTGGATCTGGTGTCGGTTTTTGTGGGGAGGGCTAATTTCCAGATGTCTGGCAGGCGGGATGTGTCGTCACGCTTGTTCATGTTGTGAGGGTGTTTCTCTATCTCGATGGCTTCCATGATTATTCTCTTGTGGTGATGTTCCATGTTAGAGAGCAATTTGGAATCTGCAAAATTAATTTCGTGTCCTGTTTCTTTCATGTGTTGGAAAAGAGAGGAAGTTTTTTCTTCTTTTTTGACGGCATTCTTGTGTTCTGCGATACGTGCATTTATTCGTCTGTTTGTTTGTCCAATGTACGTGGCTGGGCAGACTTTGCAGGGTATTTCATAGACCCCTTGGTTTTCCAACTGGATTTTATCCTTGGGGTTTCTGAGGATATTGGCTATTTTTTGGTTGGTGCAAAAGGCTGTTTTGATATTGTGTTTATGGAGGATTTTGCTAATTTTATCTGTAGTGCCCTTGATATAAGGAAGGAGGGCCATGCCATTGTTTTCTTCTGTGTCTTGGTTTTTGGGGGGTGTTTCTTTTTGCATTAGCTTCGTAACCCTGTTTTGCTGGTATCCATTGGCGATTAACACATTGAGAGATTCTGTAACTCAGTTGTCAAGTGGTCTTTGTCAGCCAGGCGTTTGGTTCTGGAGATGAGAGTCTTGGCTACGGAGTTTATTTGTGCAGGGTGGTGGTGTGATTGTGCATGTAAGTAGCGGTTGGTGTGTGTTTTTTTCCGGTAGATAGTGTGTCCTAGGGAGCCATCAGGTTTTTTGTAGATTAGGACGTCAAGGAAGGGAAGTTGGTTGTTGGCTTCTATTTCCATAGTGAATTGTATTTTGGGGTGTAGGCTGTTGAGATGTGTGAGGAAGCTATCTAGTTTTTCCTTCCCGTGTGGCCAAATTACAAAGGTGTCGTCAACATATCTGAGCCAAAGTTTGGGTTTGTGTTCTGACTTGTCTAAAGCATTGGTTTCAAAGTGTTCCATGTACAGGTTTGCGATGACCGGTGAGAGGGTGATCCCATAGGTGCTCCTTCTATCTGTTTGTATCTTTGTCCATTGTGGATGAAGTACGTGTTGGTTAGGCAGTGGTTGGTCAGGTCCAGGATGTATTCGGGGGGATTGTATTTGTTTTGAATGGCTGTCAAGGCTTCATTAATGGGCACTTGTGTGAAGAGAGATACAACATCGAAGCTCACAAGTAGGTCATTGGGATGTAGGTTTTGCTTCTTTATTGTTTCTATGAACTGGAAGGAGTTTGTAACGTGTGAAGAGATGGATTCTGCATAGGGCTGAAGTTGCTTAGCGAGAAATTTAGCGAGATTTTGTAGAGGTGAGCCTATGGAGCTGACTATTGGTCTGAGTGGTGTTCCTTCTTTGTGTATCTTGGGGAGGCCGTAGAGTTTGGGGCATCTGGATGATTTTTCTCTGGGGATGATTCTTAGCTGGATTTCTTCACTGATAGGAGAGGCTTTTATTTTGGATTTGGTGGTTTTTTCCAGATAGGTGGTGGGATCTGTTTTTATAGGTTGGTAGGTAGGGTCTTGGAGTAGATTTGATAGTTTTGCTTGGTAGTCCGATGTGT